AGAGGAAAGTTCTCACACACTTATTTTTATTTTTACACACTTTTGTTATTTTTTATTTTTTTATTTTTTTTAATTTGATAATTGAAAATTGAGAGGATTGCGTGAAAAAAAAAAAGAAAGTGTTTAGATAGCACTACAAAAAAAATCATGCTTTTTACAAAAATAATGAATGTTTCGATGTATATATTTCAAATTTATACATCGAGAACGAATGAAGAGTTTAGATGTACCAACAATCCAACAACCATGCAAGATATCGACATATACATCAATTCATACTAGAAAATTTATAACATAATCAGGCTCAATGTTATAAATTTTCTAATATGATTTGAGCCTGATATTCTAATTTTGGATAAACAATATGGACCCCAAAAGATATAAAAAAAACCCACAACTTGAAAAGATTGGAGTACGGTTAGGTGCTGTAATTCGTGAATGTGTTATAATATAAGTGAATACATATTGTTAATATTGGAAAGATTAACCATGTCGCCCACAAGAGAAATTTGCATAAAAAGTGACGCAATATGATAATTTGTTGTTATGGTAAGAGAAATAAAAAAAATTAACAAAAATAAATAAATAAATTGAAAAGGGAGGATCAGTATGTAGTTAGCGACTTGAATGGGGAGTTGTCACTAGAGTTCTAGGGACTTTATTCAAATCGAATCGGTATCATAGTACCGATCGTATCATCTTCTCTATTTTATTTTATTTTTTTCATTGAAATTTTTTCTTCCTTATTGATTTTTAAAGTTGAAAAATTTTTAAAAAATAATATAACTCGTCATGATTTTCCATTGACAAAAATAATGTGGTGATGTTTCAAACTTATTGCTCGTGGCTACATATTTTAACCATTTGCGTATGTCGCATGATTGTTTTATGACAACCGACACTCGATTGGAAGACCAAGAGCTAACTATCGAGGCTTTGGGTTATCTACACATACTTGATATAGATGAACAATACTCCCCCTCCCTAGAAATGTATAAGAAAGTACGTAACTCAACAAGAAATTTCCTTATTTGTCCAATCTTTACACATTATTTGATGACACCGGCACTTTACACATATGTTATAATACATAGATTAATTATACAACGTGAGCATAGGAATGGGTCCCAATTGAATTGGGAGAGACATATATTGTTATACTCTTTATTAGGAAAAATATTTTTTCCATTGATAAAATGAATAACATTACACTTTGGGCATTTATACAAAAGCTATCACAGCTAACAAAAAAGATAACCTCCAAAACAAACTAACATTCCTTAAACTCTAAGCATTATCTCTTGTAGGTGCAATTACATTTTTATCCTTAATATCATCCCTCAAACGAAACTGTGGAACTCACAGTTGAAGTTTGTCTCTCAGAAGCAAGAACCTGGCCTTGGAGAGAGACTTGGTACAAATATCAGCTATTTGATCCTGTGTACAAACAAAATGCACAGATACTTGGTTTGCCATAACCTTTTCACGAATGTAATGATAATCGATTTCAACATGCTTGGTTCGAGCATGAAAAATAAGATTCTTTCCTAAGGATATTGTAGAGACATTATCACACCATAACTGTGGAGAATGAGGTAGAGGATAAGCAATATCAGTAAGCAGTTTGCAAAGCCAAGTGATTTCATCCGTTGTATTTGCAAGAGACTGATATTCAGCTTCTGTTGATAATCTAGCAACATTTGGTTGCTTCTTGGAACTCCAACTAATAAGTGAGTTGCCAAAAAAGATGTAGTAACCATCAATGGATCTTATGTCCAAATAACACCCTGCCCAATTAGCGTATGAAAATGCTTGAATAGATGGAGCTTTAGAACACTTGGAGAACCATAAACCAAGATCAAGGGAACCCTTGAGATATCTGAAAATGCGTTTAACTGCTTGCATATGTGAGACTCTTGGATTGTGCATGAACTGACACACCAAATTGACTGCAAAACTAAGATCAGGTATTGTCCAGGTTAAATATTGAAGAGCTTCAACTAAAGACCGGTATTCATAAGCATTTTCAAGGATAGGGGATGAGTGATCAAGTTTGGTTGTACTTAGAGGAGTGTTGCAAGGTTTAGCTCCCTCCATTTTTGTTTATGTCAAGAGATCTAAGATTCTTAATGGGGAAAAGAGCATTGAGTTGTGTTATAACTTCTTGACAGGTTGCAGAAGATGAACCAATCATTAATATGTCATCTACGTAGACTAGGATGAAGACCAAAGAGGGAGATCTCTTCACAAACATAGAATGATCACTTTGAGAACTTGTGAAACCAAGAGAATGCAAAACATTATGAAGTTTGTCATACCAACCTTGAGGAGCCTGTTTTAAACAATAGAGTAATCTGTGAAGTTGACAAACATGAGTTCGTTTGGCTGGATCTTCAAAGCTAGGTGGCTGTTGCATAAACGCTGATTCAGTAAGTGTGCCATGAGTCTAATAGTCACAGGTTTGTCCATTGGACTAAAAGTTTCAGTATAGTCCAGGCTTTTTTATTGGTGAAACCTTTAGCAACCAAACGGGCTTTATACTTGTCAATATAGCCGTCTGGTTTCCTTTTAATCCGAAAGACCCACTTACATCCCACAAAATTGTGAGAAGATGAATAAGGTACAAGAGACCAAGTACCAGTTTTGAGAAGGGCATTAAACTTCTCTTGCATTGTTGTGCACCAATGAGGGTGCTTAAAAGCTTGTAAGTAGGTTGAAGGTACATAATCAACTGCAAGATGAGGAGGAATAGGGTGTTTAGTTGCAGTTAGGGCTTTTGGTTTGAAAATTCCAGACTTGGATCATGTCTGCATTGGGTGAATGTTGATATGAGAGGTAGAATGTGAAGAAGTATGATGTAAGGGAATTGCAGAGGCTGATAAGTTTGCAGGATTTGAAGGATTTGATGTGGTTACAGAATTGGATGTGGATGTTTAGATGATTTCCTTAGTGCACAATATTAGCAAAAAGTCTTATTTGAACCATCAAAAACAGAAATACATGACTGAGATGCCAATTTATTGATGATCTTAACATAAAGGTGGCCCAATCTTTGATGGCAGAGATTCCTTAGAGCTTTGATAGATGCAATGAATGCTTGATAAGAAGTAGCAGGGGATGATGATGAGTGAAAATGATAGAAGCCATGTTGAACTGGACCTTTAAAAAGCATCATCCTTGAAGAAAGATTCTTCATAATGAAGTGAAAATGATAAAGATGCATGGAACACCAATTGTCAAGGAGAAATTGATTTGCAGAAAGAAGATTATGCTTCAGATCAGGGATATGTAAAACATGTTTAAGCACAAATGAATTATTTGGAGTATGTAAAGATGATGAACCAGAGTAAAGAATAGGCAAACATTTGTTGCCTCTAATATACACTTGCTCGGGGCCATTGTATGCTTCTGGAGTATGAAGATTTGCATAAGAATTCGTCATATGCGATCTTGCATCAGAGTCTACAATCCAGATAGGTGTAGAATTGGAAGTACTAGCAACCATAGCAGAATGAAAAGATATGCCACTGTAATTTTGATCCATGCAATGAGGTCAGTCAGGCTTCATGATTTGATTGACGACAAATTTGACAAATGATCTTTCTGTTGGAAGAGTAGTTGTTGTGAGCTCCGCGATTGAATCTTTGAGTGGTGTTGCGAGAATAACTATTCATGCCATCGTTGAATCTGTAGTTTCCACGATTCTGATAATTGCCACGATTTGTATTCTGATAATTGCATTCCACATTGCGACCTTGATTGTTGAAATTAGAAACATGATGAGCAACAAAAGCTTGAGGATTAGGGTTTGCAAGCAAGGGAAAAATACCAGCATAAGAGTTTTATGCTTGAAACGGTGCAGCTGAAATGGTTTTCTTCCGATTATTAAGTTGAATCTATTTGCTGAGAAGTAAGCTGTGCAATTCATCAATAGTCGTAGATCCAATACAAAACTGAATGACATCCACAAAAGAGTCAAATTCGAAAGGTAATCCATGAAGAGTAACTAAGATGAGTTTTGAATCTTCAACTGGAGCACCAACACTTGCAAGTGCATCTGCGGTTTCTTCAATTTGCTAGAGATATTGAGCAGCAGTTGATTCACATTTAACAACATTGCGAAGACGAGATCGAAGCTTGTGAATGTGAGATTGAGATGCAGTTGCGAGTCGCGATTCCAATTTCGCCTAAAGTTCTCGAGCAGAAGTCACACCAACCGTGTAAGGAATTAAAGATTCATAAAGAGTTGAATTAATCCATATAAGAATGTTTTGATCATTCTTAAACCAAGTGACATAGGCTGGATTGAGAGTTGCAGTTCGATTCCCTAACAACTCAATAAGAAATTTAGAGGTCGCCATAGTTTCGTCAATGAAACCAGTAAGATTGTAACGACGGAAGATCGGGGCAAACAAAACACTCCATGTCAAGTAATTTGTAGTAGTAAGCTTGATTGGAACCATGGATCCAATATTTTGGATCGTAATGGAAGAAGAAATCGCAAAATTAGGGTTGGGAATTGCATCAGGAAATGGATGAACAGGAGAATCCGATTCCTAAGAAGGAGATGCAGAGGTCACTGTAGCTGTAGGTTGAAGAAAAAATCCCGATCAATATCAAGAAATCGATCGATTGATCAGAGAAGATGAAGAAGATTAGGCGATGCAGAGAGAAGCGGCAAAATTGGATCGAAGAGGTGTCGTGAGACAATAGGCGATTGATACCATATTAGGAAAAGTATTTTTCCATTGATAAAATGAATAACATTACACTTTGGGTATTTATACAAAAGTTATCACATCTAACAGAAAAGAAAACCTCCAAAACAAACTAAGATCCCTTCACCTATAAGCATTATCTCTTGTAGTGTAATTACATTTTTATCCTTGATACTCTCCTGAATTGATTTTTCGAACTGAGTTGAAAAGGCGGAAACTTAATCCTGCCTACCTACACAGGGAAATCCTAAATACTTATCGAATATGGTAAACTATCCTATATATTCCTCACCTACAGATGACTACATAAATATATGTATACACACACATCCGTGTTATATCTTGAACTATCATCAATTGGTTGTGTCTGTTCTTCACCTGTGCGATATTATCATGGCTTGTGGTGCTGCTAATTTCACGTGTTTATTCGTCATGGCAATACTAATGCAAGCTTTCATGGTCGTGCTCTCTCAACCAGTCGAAGCAGAAGCAATCTCGAGGTCCTCGAAAAGATTCATCACCGTCGACAAATCCGGCAACGGCGATTACACCAAAATACAGTACGCAATCGACGCCGTGCCGTCAGGTAATGCTCAGCTTGTGTTTATTTGGGTCAAGCCTGGTGTGTACCATGAAAAAATAGTTGTACCTTCGGACAAACCCTATATAACAGTAAGTGGCACGGGTACTGCACATGAGACTGTAATAATATGGAACGAATGCGGAGAGATTTTTGATGTTGCCGTCTTTACCGTGTTGGCTACCGATTTTATAGGCCGCTTTATCACCATTCAGGTACGATTATATACCTATGAAACAAGTTTCATATTTACTAAAGAACAGATTGTCGATATGTCATTGATAATGTGTCGTTACCATTGTAACCAGCAAAACGTACTAACATATTAACCCTAAACCAGTCACATTATCTATACATTATCGACAATTTCTTCACATGCATGCACATTAACGAATACTTTAATTTTCTCATTGCAGAATACATATGGAATTGGTGCGAAAGCAGTGGCGCTTAGAGTCTCGGCCGATAGAGCAGCATTCTACGCATGTAGAATTTTGTCTCGGCAAGATGCCTTGTTCGACCACGTCGGCAGGCACTACTACGGACACTGCTACATTGAAGGCGACACCGATTTAATTTTCGGAAACGCTGCTTCTTTCTTCGAGAAGTGTCATTTGCATTCGCTTTCGGAGCACAAAGGAGCGATCACAGCACAACGAAGGTATGCGCCTTCCGATCAATCGGGGTTCACCTTCTTGGCATGCGTCGTCACCGGCGTCAAAACGGCACTACTAGGACGGCCGTGGGGTCCCTATTCGACAGTCGTCTTTGCGTATACTTACATGTCAAACGTGATTCTTCCAGAAGGGTGGGACGGATGGAGACTAGCACCCAACAACTTAAGTCATGTTTACTATGGGCAATACAAATGCTATGGACCGGGAGCCGAGACATCACAAAGAGTTAAATGGTCACAAAGCCTTACAAGCGAACAAGTTACACCCTTCCTTGATCAAGCGATTGCCCTTCAATCCGAAAGCTGGCAAGATCGTTGGTCTCTCCTTCATCCTTACGGAGCAGAGCAAGGAAGCGTGGACGGTAAGAACAATATGGACCAAATAGGAGAGGATCCCAGCCCCATCGGAGAGGACGTGGGGGTTGGTTGGGACCCTGTGGAATGGAGTGGGGCGGAGGGGATGTCGATCAGCCCAGCGGAGGATATGTCGAGCTGCGAGAGTCCTAGGTCTCCCGGGATTTTTCTTTTTCTTCTTTTTGGTTTATTTGTTTGATGTTATGAGGAGTAAAGCAATAACAATGTACAACACCGCAGAGACTTGTCGATGTATGAATGGCACAAAAAGAATTTTCGATACTAAAAATCAATTAGACCATGACAAGTGATTACCTCGATGAGTTTTCAAACATCTGTTTAGAGACCGATCGAAAAAATGTAACAATTAACATTATGAAATAATGCAAACAAAGAAATAAGAGAAAATTGAGTTTATTACAATAAAACCTGGCAAAAAGCTTTCCAAGGCTCTTCACCTTATAGTTTGCCCCAAACTTTGGATAACCAAGCCAAAGCATCTGTACTATACCCAAATCATATCACACAGCAGATTATACCATTTGGAACAAGTTACGGAATACCAATTGTAAAAAAGGAAAAAATGTACATGAAAACGTCTCTCGGCGTCTTATATTTATAGAAGGAAAACCCTGTAACTAGCGTCGTTAAATCAGGCGCTATCCAAGTTGAAAAAAGCTAGTTACAATCTGAAGTGCTACCGGTCATGTAATCACCAGACTCCGAATTTCCTGTTAAGGACTGGTCATCTGCCACTGTTATCTTCAAGATGTCCGATTACTTCAATTCTTCACCTGTTCCATTTTCTCTCTGAAAGAAGCAGCACTCGAGCAGTAAGAAATCGGTTTATATTGCAGAGATTATACCCTATACGAAATTATTAATCATGCTTTTTGGCAATGTAATCAAGTAGATGATTCATGAGAAAGTATGCATACCATTTGTCTTTGCACCTGGCTGTGCTTGAGACATTGACCGCTGGATGCGTGGAGACCCCTGCCTTCCATTTGTACCAGGTAAGGAATGTCTCTTCTTTACGTAAATGTCTCTGTCTTGCATATCTGGACTGGATCTTGGAGAGAGATTTGCTTGAAGTTTTGCTCTTGCAGATTCTGTGGCTTGCATGAAATGGGGGATGGAACTGTTGCTACTGCTGTCTCTTGGTTCTTGATCAATGTTATCGGCGGCGGGTTTTGCTGAACCAAATGAATTGCGTCTCTTGCCGTTTTTCTGATCTTTACTGGATCCAGAATCATGATTTGGATTAGAGGGAGATTTCTTTCCTGCTGAAGCAGACTTACGTTTTTGGTTGGATCCACTCTTGTCAGCTTTGCTCCTTTTAGCTTTCACAGATACCAGACTGGACGGTGTTCCTTGGGATTCTGGGACAGTCAAATGGCTTCTTGGAGAACCTTCTGGGGATGATGCATATGCTTCATTACCTGCCTCGGTGTCCTGTTCTCTCTGCAGATCAGACGTAGTTCTCTCCGGCTGAGACTCTGTTTGAGGGGAGTCCACAGCAACCACAGAATTTTCGATCTCACCATTAACAACCTTTTCTGGTTGATCAAAGACTGGGTCAGATAGGTTGGAGACTGGGATTGTAGGTAAATCTTTGGCTTGGACATCCGCATTTTCAGTGCTGTTAGCTTTGGCTCCATGCTCATGTTCCGTAGCTCCAACATCAGATATATCAGGCGAATCAAGGGTGGAAGAAATGGAGATTTCGGTGCCACACTCAGAGCCACCAACTTGAACACTTGATACATGGGTGACTGGGTTTTCAGCCCCGTTGAGCTCCTTTCTGATTTCAGTATCCACCGCAGATGAGAATGCATTCCTTTGTAATTCACTTACAGCATCATCTTGATAGGATGGACTAATTGATCTACCTGAATTGGTAGTTGAACTCAGCACTTCAAATTTTGACTGTGCAGCAATAAATGCAGGATTACTCACTTTCCTCGATCCGAATACAGATTTCTTTCCGTCGGTTTCTAGATCTTCTGAGGCTAATCTTTTCATAGAACGTTTAGGTTGTTCAGTTTCCGTGACAGGCTTCCCAGAAATGGACTTGAGCTCCACTTGAGAATCTGCATTTGATTGCACACTTTGATTTGGAAGATAATTTATCTCTTCCGTGATCTCTTTCACATCAGATATACTGATATTCTGAAACTGAGGCTGTTCAATATAGGGATGGCTTGCCTGAAAGTTCAAGTTGTCAGCGTCATAAGTAATCAGATTCTCTTCACTTTCAGATGGCACTATTGATTCTGTGATGCTGGACTTTGAGTCTGATATCTCTTCATCTTGAATTTTAGATTCCCCAGGGGACTCAGAAATTTCTTCCTTTCTTACCTGTTTCTCCATCGCTGGCACTGCTTTTTCTGACTCTGCAATATCCACCATTGACGGCGATGATAGTGACGTCCATCTCTCCATCCATTGCCAAGTAGAACCGGGCTTAGAGGAATCACACTTGACATGAAGAGGTTTGGTCTTCGGTGATGATTCCAACAACTTAAATTCAGAAAGTATGAGTTTAGGTAGTATATATGAATGAAAGATAAATTAGCCAGGAGTGCAGTTGCAAAAGCAAAACACAACAGATAAAGATTTCTAAGCATACCTGGCGGGCGAAACTATTCCTCAGTAGCTTCTCAATTGAAGTGTGTGTTATATTCGATTTGGCTACTGATTTTTCCTTTTCCTGAAACAGAAAAAATAAATCCAGAAAATTCATCAGGAACAAGTAAAAACACTATTAAGTTGTCTCAAAGAACATTTCCACAGGGATTATGGGCTGATAATAGCAATAACAAATAACTTAACAAAAATTGCAATTGTGAAATAACCACTTATGCCTTTATTTCAGAAGGTGAATACAACACGTGATATGGAATAAGGCAAACAATATGACGTACAATACATAAGCATCTCAATGCGATAAACTAACCTCCCCAAGCTGAAGATCTTATAACACTGGATCTCAATGCGATTAGCTAACCTCACAATGATGGAGATCTTTATGACATTGAATTGCGACAAATTTCAGTTATTAGTTGATCTTTTCATATTGAAAGTCACACAATCTATTCATTACCTTTCTCTAAGAATTTGAATACAACAAGCGATTTAAGCGGAAGGCTATCTCTATCAAACAACGCCTAGCATTTGGATTTCATACGTTTAATCATTTTTATACAAGTACAGTTAATATTCTGCGTTACCATTATTCTGACTTGTTCCTATTGGCTTGACCAAGGACAGTTGGCATAGGTTAATAGACACCATACAAACTACCATCAAACAATTAATGAAGCTATGAACAAGATCACTTAAGGCAAGAAATATTTGAATAATGGCCTATAGAGAGCAGATTATTCTAATTTGAACCGAGTGGCATACCGAGAGCTTAGAGTTATGGTCAATCTCTTGACGAGCATGGCGAGCACGAATAAGAGCTTGCATTTTCACAAGAGCTTGAACACATCGTAGAGTTCCCACAGCATGCCTACGGACCAAATGCCCACGAACGGCAGCTTGCAACTTAACAACATTCTCAAGCTCCACCAATGATTTCTGAGCCTGGTTAATAATTCAATGAATATCTTATTGGGAATGCTACTAATTATATACTTCAGAATTCATGTATATCAACAAGAAAAATTACCAATAATCCTCCGGAAGCTGTCTGCACAAAAATAACATCTGACTCATCCGGTTTGCATTCGACTGCACTTTCATCTTCTGCAACATTTTCAGTATTGGAAACTTTTGGTTCAGTTTCGGGTACTTTCTGTTCAGTCTCCGGTATTTTTGGTTCAGTCTGGGATACCTTCTGTTCAGCCTGGGATACTTTTGGGTTCTCAGGAGTTACCAACTGGGGTTTCTCGTCAGTGCAATGTATAACCGATATCTTTTCTGGAACAGTAGTGCTCGCTGGCGGTTGGAAATTAAGAGCAGCTGATTCTGGGATCTCCTTATGTCCAGAAGTGGGGGTCTCTCTGATAACAGTGTTGCTCAACACTCGATGCCGTGCAGATCTCTTCCCAAAACTCCATCCGCGCTTGTCACTCGAACTCTTACTCTAAAAAAAACCGAAACAACATTGATCAATACACCACACGCACATATAACAAAGTCCTCAATGAAGCAACTAACTGCAATAAGCAATTTAAACGATTTTCGGACAATATTATTAAATTGTAAATGGCGGTTATGATGAACCAGATATGCTTGAGAATCACCCGATTTTCGGACAATTAACAGGATTGCATTTATCCTACTTATACTAAATCAGCAAAAGTTACACACAAACTACTCAGATATAAAGATTCTCTAACGTTTTTCGCAATCGAAAACCGTGGTTTACAAGTGTCAATTCTTAATCAAATAACAGCTCCTAATGCTCCGTTTGGTAACACGAAACAAACAGATTTTAAGCATGTTAAATGCAAGATCAGATTCTTCAGATCTTCGCATAGAAAAGTCATTAATCTCTCAAAATCCAAACAGGGAAGTAGCTGCTACAATCCTATATATTAACGAAATGCAAATGAAAACAGACCAATTGAATCATAGGCAGCAACGAAACCAAAAACGGAAAGTCATAGGAAACACCGAAATGCAGAAACCGTGAGCTAACGAGAATACCTCAGGAGCTTCGAGGTCATCGTTGTCCGCTGAATCCTTACCGCAGGTGATAATATTGAAGCAAGAGGTAGATTTCCCCATTTTTTTCTTCTTTCACTTCTCTCTCTCTCGCTCGCTGTTTCTCTCTCTAAAAAGTTCAATACACAGACAGAAGACACAACACTCTCTCTCTCTCTTGATTTTCGAGAGACAAAACCGCCTACGTTGGTGCGGTGTTGCGAAATGCGACAAATGTAGTAGCTTGAGAACACGGACCTCAACACACTCCTTAAATCTGGCTAAAAGTCTTTTCTGGAGTCCGCCATTTATCAGCTCCGTTGCGCTTCTACGCCCTGTCCGTGGAAAGGGAAGTAAAACTTTATTTTATTTTTGAAACATCATTATTATAAATTGACCCCCAATATGAAGTGGTTGTTTCACTTTGGTATCTAAGTAATGTGTCTCAGGTTGGTCCAGAGCTCCTTAAGAATGTATTAAAAATGGAAAACATGGCATTATTTACCAAGTCTGGAGGTGTAATCATATTCAGGAGGTTGTAAAGTTAGAACGACTAGTGAATTCGACAATGTCGAGTTGATTCCTGAAGTTTTAAAAATGTGTTGGTTATAAAAATATCAAAACTGATCGTGTGTAATTATATTTTTTTATTTAGAATGACTCGTAAATTTGATAAT